TACCTTCTTTTTCCACAACCTCATCTGAAAGACCATTTGTTGAGCTTTGCAAAAGTCTTCTTGATTTGTAGTTGATAATGCCAAGGAATTGTGGGTTTTGCCATTTTATTTCCCTGTCTTATATGACCCAAAATGGGACCAGAATTTTTAATCGTAAAATTACAATCTTAGTTTATTTTTCGAATAAAATTTCAGATTCAGTTTCGTGTCCCAGCTGCCTATAAAATCTTGAACCCCAAAGTTTGTTTGACTTTGGCAGATAGTTGAATGCTTTTAGTTTTTGGTCATTTGACATGCCAAAATGTGTTGTTGGTACGTTTCTCTTATTTTGAGGGTGGGGGTGGGTGGACTCCCAAACTGCTCTGGTGGCCAGGGGACCCTACCCCACAATTCCCCACCAACTGGACCTGTAGTTTGATGCCAGGAATTACACCCCCCATACCCCAGGGTGTTCCAGCTTTGCTGGGGGCATCAAGAAACACACCTGGTGTGCTAAGGGACTCCCAGGACTGCCGCCTGCTGTGCTAAGTGACCACATAGTTCTGTGGAATCTAACCGCAGTTGGCTGCATGCAAGGCGTGTACCTTATGCCCTGTACCATCTCTCCAGCCCCTAAATTTCTCAAGTAAACGTCCAGCTCAGAACCCATCTATTCGGTCTGATGAAACAAAGATTTCACACAACCGTAATTACTTTTTATCATGTACAGTGTATTTTTAGTCTTTCCTGTTGTATTTGGTAGTTGTGAAAAAACTACTAATTAGTTTCACAGTCTCTTAATAGGCCATGAGCTGCAGTTAAAACTCTGAATACTCTGAGATTAGTGACACCATCAGGGAGAGATTTTTTTTTCTTGTTTGGTTTTTGGGCCACACCCTGTGGTGCTCAGGGTTTTACTCCTCACTTTAAGCTCAGGGGTCACGCCTGGCAGTACTTATGGGACCATATAAGGTGCTGGGGATTGAACCCAGGCCAGCCTTTATCTGCTGTACTGTTTCTCTGACCTCAGGAGTGATCGTTTTTGTATACAGTATTTCAGTTCTGTAGAAGATCAATGAGGACTTTCTAGTGACGGTCTTTTCTTGAATGTAATGAAATATACAATCCCAAAGGCCTGTTAATACTCACAAAAGTAAACAAATGCTACTGCCAAATATTTTTTTATAGCGATTATAACCACTGGTAGGTGTATCCACTGGTAGTTCCAAAGAATTCCCATTGTCCTGTTTCCGTCTTAACGCCGATGTCAATATTTTTAGTTTCAAAGATTAGATTGGGTGTTCCGCAGATATCTTAGCCATTCTTAATGAAGTCTGCCTGAAATACCTCATGCTTCCCAATGTTTGTCAAGCAGAATGAGTGTGAAATAATGGACTTGTTTCAGATAACTGAGATCTGATGGTTTTGTTTATTTGAAGTAGTTTGGCTGATGACTAGGGACTCAGTCCCTCATGGTGCAGGGCCTGGTTGCCTAGAAAAAGGAAGGGTGTGCCTGGTAAGGTGAGAAGCCAGGAAAGAGCAGACCAGCAGGGGCCTGCTGCCCAGGACATGGGGATTCGCTTATCTTGCTTAGTCAGGAGGGGAACTGGCTGAACTCCTTAATATCATTCACATGCCCGGTCTTGCTGGAGATTCACGTAAAACATCAGTCAAAAGATTGGGCCATTTTCCAGTTCTTAATTCAGGGCACATTCCGGGGTGCTTTTAGGGTAATTCATCTTCTCAAATCCACTTTCTTTCTACGCTCATAGAACGTTGCTTGCAGTTTGATTAAATACGATGTAAAAAGCGATCAGTGAATTGCTGCTGTTCTCTTGAGCAATTCTAGGAATACAATCATGAAAGTCACCTACTTTATTTTTTTTTTCAGTGCATTTCTTCTCATTTTTCCCTTGGCTCCTTCCCCCACCCCCACCCCCCCGGGAAGGAGCAGCAGTGCTGAGAAGCTTCCTGCGGGGTCTCCACTAGTCAGGTTGTCCGTGTAGTTCATGGACCTAAGGAAGCAGTGTTGCTTGGGCCCTGTGGTGCCTTGTTTTACATGGATCACCCCAAAGCTGCCCACAGGGACTCTAAGGGAGTCCCTGGTGATGTTTGAGTGGTACCCATTTGGGGTTTGGGATGCAAGTGGAGGGGGCCACCTGCAAGGCTTGTCGTCCCCTGGTGCCTTTCTTATCTCTCCCCATAATTTTCAGAATGGACTAAATAAAGGCTGAGAACTTTCTGTAATGTATTAATTAAAGGCTATCCACCAGAGGCAAACATCCCAATGTTAATTGAAAAATATGTAGTATTTGTGAAGGTGTTTTCTACGACTTGCTACCAAATGTTCCCTTTTGGAATAATAGCCTGAGAATTTGCCTCACGATCTATGTTCAGTTGAAGTCAAACCACTGAGGAATCTTCTATTTTCTTTGCATTGTGAACAGCACAGAAGATACAGAAAATTAGGGGTGGAGCCATTCTTGAAGTGATTTTCAGGTTCTTTAACTTATATTGGCTTATCTAAACCCAGTGAGTTGATAATGGTTCTTTGTTTTTTTTTTAAAGTCAATTTTATTTATTTATTTTTGCTTTTTTGGGTCACACCCGGCGATGCTCAGGGGTTACTCCTGGCTCATGCACTCAGGAATTACTCCTGGCCGTGCTCCGGGGACCATATGGGATGCTGGGAATCGAACCTGGGTTGGCTGTGCGCAAGGCAAACGCCCTACCCACTGTGCTATCGCTCCAGGCCCCTGATAATGGATCTTGATTCCAAAATTAGGCGTGTCACATGGCAGCCACTCTCTCAAAGGGACTTGAAAGTTCTGTTATTATTGATCTCGGTCACCAGCGCACCCGCTTCTTTGTGTAACTTCTCTTTGGAAAGTCTGAAGTAATCAAGATAACTATCTTCCCCTTCAGAGAGACAATCAGGTCAGCAAAAAATATTTCTCCTGGCGGCGCCTCCTTCCGCTTGGTGTTTCCTTTCTCAGGGTGTGGGCGAAAAATAAGCTGCAAATAGAAAGTACTCAATTTTGCTTCTTGGCCCGTAAGCCACTAATGCAAAGTGGAATGAGAATTCAGATCACAAACAAAAGTTTCCCCGATGCTAAAGGAATATGAGCTTCTCTTCTGTCTTTGGGCCATTAGAAGAAAGAGATTCTTCTTCCCCGCATACTATCTTTGCTTTTCCCTCACAGATTATTACATGCCCAGTGTAATGAGTATAAGTACATGTAAAATTGAGTGTAAAGCTGAAAGTAGTCTATAGGCAGAACATGATTGCCACCCAATGTCTCTTCTGCAGACCACAGCACCCAAAAGGAGAGATAGAACAAAAGGGAGTGCCCTGCCACAGAGGCAGGGTGGGGTGGGGGATGGGAGGGGTGGGGGTGGATATTGGGATCGGTGGGGGTGGAGAATGGGCACTGGTGGTGGGATGGGTACTCGATCGTTGTATAACTGAAACCCAAGCACAACAGCTTGTAAGTCTACAACTGTACCTCATGGTGTTTCAGTAATAATAAAAAAAAATGAAAGTGCTTAGAATTAAAAAAAAAAGTTGAGTGTAAAGATTCCCCCATGCTGGTGCTCTCATTTTAGTTGTGAGTGTGTGTGTGTGTGTGTATGTGTGTTTGTGTGGCCAGCATTAACAAGATGATACAACTTTCCCATCATCTTTGCCGTAGGATTTCCTCTTCACTTAAGTTGTTTACCCTATTCTCTGCTGGGGCATTTAATGGAATCATAGCTTTGTTCCACAGGTACTTTTTTTCCTCCATGCTGTCTTCTTTTTTTAGAAACTGTAAAATTTTAAGCCATTGCTTTAAGAATATCAAGCTATGGTCAGTTATCACATGACGGATCTCTCTGTGTTAACACACCGACACAGGCACATATCACCAGTGCTTGTCGCATTGGACAGACTGTACCAGCAGAAAAGGTTTTTGGTTAGGGGCTGGAGCGATAGCACAGCGGGTAGGGCGCTTGCCTTGCACGCGGCCGACCTGGGTTCGACTCCCAGCATCCCATATGGTCCCCCAAGCACCGCCAGGAGTAATTCCTGAGTGCAGAACCAGGAATAACCCCTGAGTTGGGTCACATCACTGGGTGTGGCCCAAAAAGGAAAAAAAAAAAAGAAATGGTTTTTGTTTATACATTTATGCTTTAGTTTGGCACCATCCAACAAAGCAGAACACGATTAATGAAGCCTCCAGATGGTGAGAAACAAATCACCGGTCTGGCAGGCGTGTCTACCTGGGAAGCACTCACCTTTCTATTTTTAAACTCTGACTTAGGTTTGGAAGTACAGAGGCTAAGTACAAAGAAGTACAAATAATTACCTGACTCCTGTTGTTCGAGCAGTCCGCTAGAGGGGCATGTTTATTCATGCTTTCAGTGAATAAGTAGCACTGTCCTCCCATTGTTCATTGATTTGCTCGAGCGGGCCCAGTAACGTGTCCATTGTGAGACTCTGTTGTTACTGTGTATGGCATATCGAGTACATCATGGGTAGCTTGCCAGGCTTTGCCATGCAGGCGAGATACTCTCGGTAACTTGCCGGGCTCTCCGAGAGGGCCGGAGGAATCAAACTCAGGTCGGCCAGGTTGGCCGCATGCAAGGCAAACGCCCTATCCACTGTGCTGTTGCTCCAGCCCAGTGAATAAATATTTTCAAATTACTTCCAATGATGGAAAAAGGCACTTAAATTTCTCACATGGAATTTTATTAGGGATTTCAAAAGAATTTGATATAATATATTAATAGAAGAAGATACTCGTTTTAGAGCACACTTAGAAATTAATGAATCGGGGGCTGATAGCACAGTGGGTAGGGTGTTTGCCTTGCACGCGGCCAACCCAGGTTCGATTCCCAGCATCCCACATGGTCCCCTAAACACCACCAGGAGTAATTCCTGAGTGCATGAGCCAGGAGTAACCCCTGTGCATCGCCGGTGTGACCCCAAAAACAAAACAAAAATAAAATGAATCACGTGTTGTGTTTTTCTTTTGTTTTAGGGCAAGTTAAGGTGTTCAGAGCTCTGTACACATTTGAACCCAGAACTGTAAGTACTCAGTTTTAACTTTCATTATTTTGATTTTTATTTATTGTTTTGTTTTAGGACCATACCCGGCAGTGCTTAGATGCTAGTGATTGAAACTGGGCCCCCTGTATGCAAAGCATGTGCTAGGGCTCATTATCTCTTTTTTCTAGCTACTTATCTCTTAAGTGGTTGTAAAAATATGGCTGGGGGTGATTCAGAGATAAAATACTTGCTTTGCTTGTGTGAGGCCTTGCATTCCATTCCCAGAAACACACACACACACACACACACACACACACACACACACACGTAAGATGATTCCCCCGGACAATTCTCTACCCCAAATGATCTGCCTTTCCTTAGCAAGGCATAAATGGTTACATCCATATACCCCAAGGACCCAAAAGCACAATTCAGAAAAGATACGGCTTTCCCAAGTTCATTGCCACATTATTCACAAGAGCTAAAATCTGGAAACAACCCACGTGTTCAAGAGTAGATGACTGGATGAAGAAATGATGGTACATTTGCACAATGGAATATTACTCGACTGTGAGAAACGGTGAAATCATGCAGTTTGTTACTTTTTATGTTGTTGGATCTGGAGGGCATCATGCTGAGTGAATTTGGTCAGAGGGAGTGAGACCAACATATCTGTCACATATTTGGGTCTAGAGAGAAGCGGCAGGGGTATAACAGATGCCTAAAGGGAACAGAAATGAAGAACATGAGAACTGGTCTTCAGGAGGAAACTCACCCCTGGGTTGGGGAGGTCAGGGGTGGGGGTTGAGAGGACAGGGAAGAGAACTCTGTGACAGTGTTTGGGGGGGAAGTGGTCACTCGGTGGAGGGGAGGGTGCTGAAACGGGCGAGGTGTTATGCATGAAACCGTATTGGTACTGTAAACCACAGTGCCGGAAATGAAAACTTAAAAGTGTCTATCCTAGGGGCTGGCTGGAGAGTAGGAGGGCCACTGCGGACATGGGTGGAAGGCAGTGGACATTGGTGAAGGGATTTGGTGTTGGAACACTGTATGCCTGAGCCCCGGTCATGAAAAAACTATAATTCACGGTGACTGAAAAATAAAACAGAGAGGCAAAAGAATAGCATTACAGGGCTGGAGAGATAGCACAGCGGGTAGGGCGTTTGCCTTGCACGCGGCCAACCCGGGTTCGATTCCCAGCATCCCATATGGTCCCCTGAGCACTGCCAGGAGTAACTCCTGAGTGCAGAGCCAGGAGGAACCCCTGTGCATCGCCGGCTGTGACCCAAAAAGCAAAAAAAAACCAAAAAAACCCCCAAGAATAGCATTACAGATGTTTGTATCTTTCCACTGTAGTGCAGAGGTGTGAACGCTCAGCCGCTTGATTCATACTCAGGTTCCTCTTGTCTCCGGGTCATCCAGCTCATCTGCCTCATCATCCTGCTTCCACTCACACGGTGCCATGATTTGCTTGAACAGTCACCAGGTGACTTCTATAAAATCATGGGTCTTAGTCATCTTCCTCAGATCTCACAGCCACCCGCCTTGATCTGCTCCGAAACCTTCTCCCTTCGGCTCTGTGAGAGTTGCACCCTCTCCCTATCACCCAAAGCGCCCAGGAAAAAAAACTTAGGTAGCAATTTCCATTGTCATTGCTTCAGTGTTCTCATTAAACCCGTGGTCCCCCATGGGTGAGGGAGCATCGGTTATCTGCCAGATGCTCCAGGCTTTGGGGTAGTACAGTGACAGTAAAAAGGGTGAATGCCATTGAAAATTCCATCTTCTTGGGAAAAGACAGACAGCAAGCAGGCACATGAACGTGACGTGTCGCATTCAGGGCCTGCAAAGTGCTTTGAAGGCAAAGACGGAGGCGGTATGCAGGTAGGGGAATCAGAGGATCCTCCACTTGGCTCCTTTACTGTGCCCTGGGAAATTAGGAAAACACCTGATCTCATCTGGAGCACTGGAGCACTGTCCTCCCGTTGTTCATCGCTTTGCTCGAGTGGGCCCAGTAACATTGTGAGACTTGTTGTTACTGTGTTTGGCATATTGAATACATCACAGGTAGCTTGCCAGGCTTTGCCATGCGGGCGAGATACTCTCAGTAGCTTGCTGGTCTCTCTGAGAGGGGTGGAGGAATCGAACTCAGGTCGGCCGGGTCGGCCGTGTGCAAGGCAAACCCACTGTGCTGAGCTAATAATAATCTCATAGAATTTTAGAGAGAATTAGCGATAGCACAGCGGGTAGGGCGTTCGCCTTACACGCGGCCAACATGGCCGACCCGAGTTCGATTCCTCCGCCCCTCTCGGAGAGCCCGGCAAGCTACCGAGAGTATTCGATATGCCAGACACAGTAACAACAAAGTCTCCAATGGAGACGTTACTGGGCCCGCTCGAGCAAATCGACAATCAACGGGAGGGCCTTTACCTTACCTTTAAATGAGATAAACTGTTTCACGGTCCTTTTGCTACTAAGGAAGGAGACGTTTGTTACTGCTAGATGGAATAGTGGCGGCTATATTCATAGATTTTAACAAATATATATATATATATATATATTATTTTTTTCTTTTTTCCCTCCAGCTTTTGGGGCCACGTTCCAGGGCATTCTGGGTCCAGTGTTTCTGTTAGTGTTCCACCTATGGGGAAGGGCAGCAGCGGTGTCCAGCTCGGGTCTGTATGCACAGCCGGAACCCAGGGCAGCTTGCATTCCTGGCTGTTCCCGCCAACCATTATGTCTTGCTGAAAGGCAGGGTCCTGACACCATCCAGTCCTGGTTGTTTTCTTATTTCTTATCTAACCCGAAGCCTAATAAAATGTGGTACAGAGAGCTGGATGGACTGGACAGACCAGTGGATGGGTCCGTGTTGGTGGGGGAGAAAAGAGTATTCAAGTGTGCTAGATGTGGGACTGATCTCTCTCTCTCTCTCTCTCTCTCTCTCTCTCTCTCTCTCTCTCTCCTTTCCTCCCCCTCCTTCCAACCTTCCTCCCCCTCTTTCCCTTCCTTTCTCCTTTCCTCCCTTTCTCCCCTTCTCCCTTCCTCCCTTGCTCCCTTCCTTCTTGGTTTTGGGACTCTACGCAGCAGTGCTCAGGGCTTTGGGTTTAGGGATCTCTCCTGGTGGGTTCGGAACACCACATGGGTTCCTGGGGATCATACCCTGGCTGGCTGCGTGCAAGTCAAATGTCCTACCCACTATCCTACCGCTCCAGTCCGGGTGACTGATTTCTAAATCAGTCACAAGACCCTATACCACCATGTTATCTTTGCTGGGCCGCTCTAGTTCTGAGGCACCTGCATGGAGGAGGAGCTCTAGACTAAGATTCTCACCATCTGAAGTAGGAGCTCATTCCTGCCACTAACTGATCTCTGAGTTGAGTCTGGCCGTGCGATGGAGATTCTGCCGGTGACTGAGCCTGCCTGGTGGGTTGTTGTTAGGGTCAAGCACGGGAGGTCGAATACGTTTTGCACATCTCAGGAATTGCTTTTGTTGCACAGCATTACGTGCTGGTGGGAAATCACTGCTGGTTTCTGCCTTCCAACCTGGATGTGATTCCATGACAGCGAGTAATAACTACGTAGGGCCATTCCGTGTGAGAGAAAGCACAGAAACATGTGGGGAAACAACCCTGGAATCGGACTGTTGTGGTGTAAGTCTGGGTGTACTTGCTGTGACCAAATTTCTCATTTCCAATGTGAGGATAAGAATAGCTCCCGGGGCTGGAGCAATAGCACAGCGGGTAGGGCGTTTGCCTTGCACGCGGCCGACCCGGGTTCAATTCCCAGCATCCCATATGGTCTCCTGAGCACCGCCAGGAGTAACTCCTGAGTGCAGAGCCAGGAGTAACTCCTGTGCATTGCCGGGTGTGACCCAAAAAGAAAAAAAAAAGAATAGCCCCTGGGCTAGTAGAGTGGGTAGGATGTTTGCCTGGCATGCAGCAGACCTGGGTTCAATCTCTGGTATTTCCTAAGACCCTCCGAACCCTCCGGGAATAATTCCTTAGGGCAAAGGCAGGAGAGATCACTGAGCACTGCTACCAAACAAAGCAACAAAGAATGGCCCCCAGGACTAGAGTGCTTGCCTTGAAGACATGAGGCCGCTGGTTCCATCCTGTCAAGACACTTGCCTTGTGTTTGTGGTTTGATCCTGAGCATTGGGCATGGTATCCCAAGTAGTGCCAGGAGTGGGCCCCCCCCCCCAGCACTGCTAGATAGAGCCCATCCTCCCATAACTAAACAATAAAATCTATGGAGAATACAATTTATGTTTTTTTTTAAATTAGAGGGCTTCAGATGGCTATGTTTGAAAAATCTCAAAAGCGTAATTTGTAATCTTTCTATAATTTTTCATAAAATATATACTTGTATGAGCCAACAGAATTAATGGCTTGGGATTGGCATGTTTATGAGAATATATGGAATGGGAATGAGAAAGTTTTTGCCAATAGTGTACTTATTCTGATTATCTGGTGGCTCTTCAAGGAGAGAAGGAAGGAGGAATGTGGTTAAAATCAGTGATCAGGTAAGAATAGAGAACCGCTTACTTGATTGTGTCACTATTTTCCCATTTCTGTTCCATTGGTAAAATGCCAGGAATTTAAAAGGAGATTCTCATCGAACAGTTTACATTAGGTGTCCTGCCGGTGGTTATTTAATGCAGACTGTGAATATTGTTGGTAAAAAAAACCATGACATTTTAAAATCTAGAAATTACCTTCCTTGTCTGTGCCGCCACCCAGTTTGAAGAATTGGGTAGACCTTTTCCTTGTCTAGGGTAAGACTAATTTCCCTAATTTGGCGGGGGGTGGGGGGGTGGTGGGGGGGCAAGAAGATGTGTTCTGGGTAATGTGTGTCTGGAAGGTATTGATTAAAAAGACAAAAACAGAACTGCTCAGTCTCCTTTCTCAGAATGAATAAAACAAACAGCATTTTTAAATTTTAATGGTATTTTATTTATTAAATTGAATACTAATTTTTTTTAAATTGAATCACCGTGAGATACAGTTACAAAGCTTTTATGATTGAGTTTTAGTCATAGAATG